ATTTGAATAGGGGGTCTCATGAAGGTGCTCTAACTACTGAGCTTTGAGATATTCTGTTGTGGGCTCCCTCAGTCTCTCCTGGTGAAGCTATTCCCCTGTGTATAAATAATGAGTCTTTGGAGCAGGGGGATGATACCTGGGGTCTCCCACCTCCCACGTGGGTGCCCTAACCACTGGACTACAGAATCTTTCTCTTTGTCTGGCCCAATGACTATGTAAGTATTTATCCACAGTGGAACAGTCATAGGGAGAGAGAGAGAGAGAGAGAAATTCCCATTTGTGAATCACTAAGCAGAGATAGGTGCCTCCCTGCAGCCCTGACGTAGGCACCCATCTCCAAAAGAGGGGCGGGGTTTAGGACATGCCTCTCCTCAGCATCTCCCATAGGCTAGGTCAGGTGGCTCTCTGCCTAGCATGCTGGCTTTTGTAGATCACATTCTTAGGCACCTCTCTCTCCCCATTCATTGTATAAGGAATCTAAATGCCTAAGTGGATTGCAGTTTTGTTCCTGCGATTATTCTAGGCACCAAAAAGTTAGGCTCTGTGACACTCTGTATTGCAGTGCCTAAGTCTGTTGATGGATCTCACCCATAAAGTCTGATACTGATGCCACTGAAGTCAATAGCAAAACTCTGACATCAGTAGTTCAGGATCTGACCCATAAATTATTAACTAGAACAGTGCAAACCCAGCAGTCTTAATTACAGTACAGCAGCCTCAGTCAACACATAGTCAATGCATGTAATCCTTACATTGCATATTTTTTCCATGAATTATGCTGATTTTACATATGTAATTAGAGGGCAGAACAGATCGCGATTAATTAATTTAGCATGCAATTAGTGCATGTTGCCAAGCAGTTGTTCAGGTTTATTTTTGCATGGGGGAGGGGGTGCTAATGGCACTTTCTCTGTCCTTTTTTTTTTTTTTAAATAAACCTATTTGGTAGAAGAGAAAAATGAACATAATTCCTGATTCCTGCAGATAAAATACACTGTGAAGCTGTGTATTGCTTGCTGCCTGGCTCTTTTTGTTGTTCAATTAACTGTCATGCAAAAGAGAACAAGCAAATTATGTTGATTATACTGAGCAGTTCTCACCCAGTCATCATACTTCCCTAAAATCTCCCTGTCTTTCAATATCAAGATTTGTCACTATAAAATAAATCATTATGATTGATTTACAGAGCAGAATAGTTGTTTACTCCAATCATTAAGAAAATTGTGTATCTCTAAAAGCACAATTGTTGTTTTCCTGAATATGAAGTACGTATTGTGTTAAGATGACTTATGCCTCACTCGTGTTTCAGTTCTGGTATTTAACTTATTATTAGTAAATAAGGGTCAGTCATCAGACAGCAATTTGACTGACTACAGTATATCCCATTTGGTATAATTTTCTACATTTTGTCTCTTTGTTGCCAGTGAAATGTCTCTACATGATCAAAATTAACCCAAAGGGACACATTAGCATCATTATCTTCAGGAAGTTCTAATCACCGTATGCTTTTTTTTAAACAAATAATTATCGTGAAATATGTGAAGTTGGTCCTGGGTTGATATTTGACAAGCACATATCTTGTCATGCTAATTTTTCCATTTCCAGTATGCAACTGATTTTTTTTTTAATTTTTAAATGTGCATGCAATGGGAAAATTAATTTAAAATGTTATAAAGAAGCTACTGTATATACCATATTTCCAAGTTAAAGTGACCTGATTCTACCCAAACCCAGGGTAGAATCAGGTCAGACATCATCAAATAAATTCTCTCTTTTTGTCATGGGAAGATGGTAAACTTGTCATCATATACGGTGCACACAATTTAAACATTCCTTGCACATGATGCTGAGGTAGAGGATGGGTTCAATTTACCTAGACCCTGCTATCCCCTTCTGTAGATTCCTCTAGTGACAATTCTGATTTAAATCATTTTGGGAGGCAGGGTACCAGACTAACCAATCCACTGATCTGTTCTGGTGTGGCAATCCTTATATTCTTATGTTAATATGCCAGACAAAACTTTTCTAGGTGGTTGATGATTAAAAGACATTGCACTGACTCTGAGCCAGGGTTGATAACAGACATTTGAGAGAATTTTTTTCCCCCATTGGTGATAACATTTTTAACAATTACTATATTTGATCAGATTTGTGAATTGCAAACACATATCCTCTTGCTGACAGTGACATCTATTCTCCCATCTGTGCAAACAGAGTGTGCATGCAAGGACGTAACTGGAATGTATTGTAAGTCTCTGGAAAAGGGGAAAGAGAAAGCTTTAGAAATAAGGTCACTAATGTGCAGGAGTAATTGCTGATCTGTATCAATATCAAAAGGAAAAAGTGCTGGTCAGCAAACTCCCAGTGGAGAACAGCAAGAAACAGCTGAGCTGATTCTTCCTTTCCAAACATTCATTGGATTTTCTTCCAATTACACACTCCCCATCCTTGTGTTAGGGCTCCTCATTAGCACTGCCCTCAAGCAAATCCTGTGGTGAGAGCTTCCCCTCACAGCTGCCACCTGTCAGTGACTGGCCCTGAGGTACTGTAGAATGTGGAGAGGGATTTCTCTGCCCCCACCTCTCCTCTTTTAATTGGCAGTTCCCCTTTGGTCATTTCTAACATGACAGATCGGGAAATGCCTGTTCTCTTGTGTAAATCTGAATCCTCATGGCACATGGTACTTAGAGAAACAGCCGCACCTTCTTTTAAGCTTACTTTCCATTTTGAAACCATAAGTAAGGAGATCAATAAAATCCTCCAGTGTCATATTCACATACCATTTTGAATTGTTAAGCTCGTGCTTGTGCTACTATTCATCCTATTACATGAATTCAGCAGCATAATACAAATAGCAAGTGCGTCCAAGCAATGGAAACACATCTTGGCATTTTATTTTGCTTTTTAGTCAATGTTTTTAGGCTGAAATTCTGTCCTTAATTGATTCAGTTGTAGCTGTGTATTACACCTAATATACGTTTGTAATAGAATTTGTAATTCTGCTCTTCTTCTCCCCAGTATTTTGGGGAGTAGTTTGAGCCACATATCCTTGGAGCTGTATATAGCACTTCTGATGTTTTTCTCTTTCAAAATGCTGCTGGTACACCTTCTGAATAGGAAGCCTTTGAAATTAATGTTGTTTTATTGCATGCTCTTGTTTGTGTGACTAGGCTAGAGAGAATATTTTTTGATCTAAATTAAAAAATTGGCTCTTTTACTCCTTCATCCCAAAGTGAAGCACCAATGGATATGCTGAATGCATAGGTACCTATATTATAAGAAAACATTTTTAGCCACTTTGAAAACTATCCAGGATTCCATTCCCAGTCAGAAATTATATTTTGCTAATGCCATGAAGTGGCAGCAGAAGTTTAATGGGATATAGTCATTATTTAGTAATATTTTCTAAGTGTAATGGTTACCGACACTGAGAGAATAGAGTGCAGACGCATACAGAGGCTAGGCCCATTGCTCCAATGGAAAAAAGCCACCCTGCATTCCCCAAAATTTCAAAAATGAAGGGAATAACATCCAGAGAAATATACAGAATAAAACTTCCCAGTGTTTCACAGACAGTCTGCATACACCGGAGCCCTAAGTAATAAATTTCTTTAAGGATAAGCGAGATAGTGAAATACCTTGCCTTTCTAGCCATATAACTTGCAATTAAACACTCAGGGAGAGATTCTGAAAGGCACAAAGTGGGATTCAGCACCAGCTCCCACTGAAGTTTAATGGCACATGGGTGCCAAACTTCACTTCATGTCTTTCAAAATCTTTGGTTTTGCCTACACTTGAAAGCTGGATCTGCATTGCTACATTGGTGAGGCGTGGGTTAAAACCATACCCCGCATCAATGTTGCGATGCCAGTAGATCGCACCCTGACCCCCAGTGTAGACACAGCCAGGTCACTGAAAGAATGCTTCCATCAACATAGCTAAAATTGTTCAGGGATGGTGTTCCTCTGATGGGGGGAGGGGAACTTCTATTAGTGGAGCTGTGCTGGCATAGCTATGCTGGTATGGTCTCCATAGTGTAGACATACCTTTTACCTTTTCATTTTACTGATTAACTGTACTGTGAACCACTGTTTTTATGGAAGCAGAAAACCCATCATGTAAGTCGGACAACCAGTTTCACGTAAAGTCCATTATACTTTCTCCTAAAAATATTCAAAAGCAGCTAAGTGATTTAGGAGCTTAAGTCCCATTTTCAAAAGTTACTTAAGCATTAAGGCGTAAATTAATGGGATTTAAACTTCTATATGACTAAGGCCCAGATTCTCAAAGGGATTTGGATACATAACTCCCATTGTTTCCAATGGGAGTTAAACACCTGAGTCCCTTTGAGGATCTGGGCCTAAATCACTCTTGAAAATGGGACTTAGGCTTCTAAGTTACTTAGGCACTTTCAAATGTTTTGCTCAAAGTCTTTGGCTTTCATTGGCATGCTGGTAGCTCTTTTACAAATATTTGATCTGATTTTCTTAGCTGGTGGGTCTCTCTGAAAATCAGGCCAATTCATGATTAATTCTTACAAGACCCCTTTGAAAGAGGTACTATCCAGATTTTATGGATGAGAAAACTGATATGCATTAATGGTCTACTTTTTTTTTCTTTAGATGAGCTCAGAGCTTGATTTTTCAAGTGCTTATCATCCATAATAAGGGCCAGGTTTTCAAAAGTGCTCAGCTCTCACTGTGACACTTGTGCCCAGATTTTCAAAATGTGGCCCAAATTGTGGATGATGAACACTACCGACAATCTGGCCTTGGATGATCTAACCAAGGTCACATGGTGAGTCAGTGGCACAGCTGGGAATCAAATGCAGAATTCCTGTCTCCCTGTCTTGTGTTTTAACCACTAGATCACATTGTTTCTGGTAAGCAAAACTATCAGTAAATAGTCCTCTGTTCTGCTCCTTTAATCGTTAATAGGTTAGTGTTTTTAGAGTAACCTGTGCAGCAATGCTTTTTTGTTGTTGTTCTCCTCCTTGACAGCTCCTAGATTGTTTTGTTATCCCAGTGGTGATATTACTGTCCTGGTTCTTCCTGCTGGTCCGATACAAGGCAGTTCATTTCATTGGAATTGTGGTCTGCATTCTGGGCATGGGCTGTATGGCAGGAGCAGACGTCCTTGTCGGAAGACAACAAGGAGCAGGTGAGTCTTTGGATACATTTTTGTGATTTCATTCAGGGAAAGCTATGTAACTCTGAGGTGATCCAAGAGGGTAGAAAGGGGGCAAAGAAGGGAAAGGCCCCAAGAGATCATGTGTGGGTTTAAATGTGTTTCTGAGTTTTCAACCATCTCCATGGCTCAACATCCATTCATTGAGGGAAGGAGCCATAGAATAAAATGACCCCAACTAATGAGCGTCAGTGCCACTTAGGGAGATGCCTTAAAACACTTTTACTTCAAGCCTCAGCAGCAATCTTGCTCAGCTTTTGGCTGCATCTTTGAGCTACAGCCTCCTATTCTCTCTCAGCCCCTCCAGTCTGTTTGCTCACTTTCTGCACACAGCCTACTTCACTGGTCACATACTCAGACACATCCAACCCACAAATTAACAATCTCCATCCTGCGCTGCACCAAATCTGAAATAAAGGTTAATTGTGGAGATGCCTGCATCATACCTGAAATAACTTGTTTATATGTAAAACATGCTTTTTTTGGATTATATGAATAATGTGTGTTTAGCCACAATTACAGCACACTGATGGCAGTATGGAAGGAGCTACATTTCATCAATCAATATCTTCTGTCACATTGATTTTTCTAGTGCTAGCCCAACTGATGTGGGAAAAGAACAAGTTCTTTTCAAAAATTGGCAGTTGGATGCCGTTTTCATTCTAAATTATAAGTATTGAATTTTGAGCTGAGCATAATGCACTGGGGTTTTAAAGTCAGTGTTCTGAATACAAATGTAAGTGCAGGGGAAACTGCACTTGCCAAGATGCTACAGAACAAAAACTGAGCAGGTTTATAGAGAGCAGCCCAGCCCGTGTTGTCCCATCACGTTCTCTTTTCCTGTCCTGAAGACTTTCACTTCATCTCCCTACCCAAGAAGCAACTCTGTCCCAGTTACAAAAGAGAAGATCTGCTCTGTCCCATGAATCAGCAAATCAGAGCTGCATTAAGAAAAATTCTACACAAAAAATAAAACTACATTCAGAAAACAGCAGTGTTGCCTACACTCAAAAGTCAGGAAAGGCCAAAGTTAAGGTTGCATGGGGACGTGTGTGATGCATTGTAATCTTAGTTACAAGATCATAGCCTGTTTCTCAGTTAATACAATACAATATCATACAGTGCTTCTACATCCTTACAAAAACACCTATAGTGTCTTGCAATTTTTTTCATTCCTTTTACTTAAGCAGTTTTCATTGTCATAATGGTCCAGTATATCTTTAATGACTTAAATATTTTGGCTCAGGTGCACCAGAGCAGGGCTCCCCTCGGTGCTCCTTAAAAATTTCTCAAGAGATAGTCCTCAACTGCTGTACGCTTTGGGATGCAATCCCAGCCCCATTGAAGTCTATAGCAAAACATCCGTTGACATCAGCAAGGTCAGGATTTCACCCTCAGGCACCAAAGGAAACATCCTGGCTACCAATTCACCTGCTCCTCACTGGGTGGATGCACTGTGGCTCACTGGGAACTTGCAGGTCTGTGGACCCGCGTGGAGAGGGCATGCGGAGATTCAGGGGCCAGTGAAGCAGCTGTGAAAAATGGCAGGGAGGAGGGAGAACCATACACAAAAGGAGTCTGGACAGTGGAGTTCTAAACAACTTAGGAATGTACTAAAAGATCTGCCCCTTAGGTAAAGGAGCCAGGGACCAGGAGTTCTATCCTTTGCTTCTTAGCAGGTGTGCAGCTATGGAGATTGCTGTTCAGGAAACTTGGAGACAGAAGCCTGGAGGAATGTGAGGAAACTTGGAAATTGAAACTAGATTTGTGTGGAATCCATCATGTGCCCTTCCCCCCTAGCAACTTTAATTAGTTCACTTAATTTCACTTGTTCTATTTAGGGAAAGAAAAAGTTAGAGACAATCCCATACTAACTAGAGTAAGCCATTAGATTGAGGTAGTCATTTGGCAGGTTACTGGCAAGAAGCAGGTATTTTTTGTCATATTCATTGGTAATATACAGATAAGGCTACTAGGTATTTTGATCCCAGAACATTCTGTACTCGCATTATTGCCTGCTTCTAATGTAGACCTGAACCTGAAGGACTGTCTGTATCTGTGTTTATTGGTATGCAAGGAGAAGAAATTCAACCACAAGCATCTGCCTTTCATGCCAAGTATCACAGCTCTTTTTAAATTGTAAAATGGCTTTATTAAAATTCAGGGAATAACTTCTATGTTCCGTGTCCCCTTTAATGAAGTAAAATGTATGAGCTGGTTCTATTTATGTAACACGGTCAAGACAGACTCTAAATAAATAAATAAATGCTGGCGGTGAAATAAAAGGCTTCAGGAGGCTCTTCACTAAAAAGTGCTGCGCTGTTTATAGGATATTTTCCCTGGCTAGGCAAACAAAAGAAGGGGATGAACCAGAAACAAGTACACTTTTATTATTTCTCAATACATCCCTTCTCCTCCTGTGCACAAACTGTTTATGTTCAAGGGCAGTGAATTTATACATTTACAGGACATACCTAATATCACTGTAGCATAGTCTCTCATAAAGATATTTATTATGTTAACAGTCCCCCAAAATGTGCTAGGCATCAGCTGAATGAGAAATTGTGTATATAACAACATAAGGTTTGATCCTACAAAGACTTAGGCACTTCTGGGTCATTGAACTCACGTGAGTAAAGTTACCCAGCTGCCTAAAGGCTTGTCTACATGGCGGGGTAATGCACTCTACAGATGTGTGATTTTGAAAGCGTTCTAAAGTGTTGCATGTCAATTGGTCCATATAGACTCTGCTGGCATGAACTAGAAGTTCCTTAGTGCACTATAACATAATGCTGTTTCATACTATAATACTGATTAAAAAATATTTCAAAATGAAAAGTCATTCCAAATGAAAAATCAAAATGTGGTGTTCCAAAAGTGTGGAAATGGGATGTTTTGACATTGTTGGGACTGTTTTCCTCTCCATTTTCTTCCAAAATGAAATTCTGGCAAAATCTACCCTATTTTGCAAAGCATTTCATTGTTGACAGAACTGCATATTTTGATGGAACACGGTTCTTTTGAAATCTCTTCAACCTAATTTAGTCAATAGTCCTAATGAAATAACTGGGATTAGTCACATGCTTAAAGTTAATCACACTCATAAGTCTTTGCAGGATCAGTGCCTAAGTTTTCTGGAATAGTTGGAACTTGAATAAACCTACCTGAAAGCTCTCTGCTAAAATAACAATAAAAGCCTCCAAGATTTAAGGCGGTTTCGAACGCTCTTTGAGACTGCCAGTACTTCAGTGGCAATGCACTGCTATGTTTTTCCCTGTGTGCGGTATGTTAGATAGCACTACAGTCATTAAATACAGTGTAAAAATCTCCATCATCACTGCTCTATACTTCACACGAAAAAACAAAAAAGCTTAGTCTCTGAAATGTGCTATTTTTTTCCTGGGCTTTACAAAGTCATCTTCTCCTCCAGTTTATCTCCTTCACAAAACAATTAAATCTCTCCCTCTGTCTCTGCTAGGTTTCCTTTACATTTTGAATGCAAATGGGCAAACAACAGTATATTTGCATGCAGATTGTTTACAAAGATGTGGGCTATTTGGCTAGGTCTCGAGTCTGTGGGGAAGAGCTTGCAATAGTTCTAGGCAAATGATCACTATTTTGAAGCCTCCTGTGTTTTTTCTCCTGTGTTTATTCCTAGGTGAAAATAAGCTGATAGGGGATCTCTTAGTACTAGGTGGAGCAACACTCTACGGCATCTCCAATGTTTGTGAGGAGTACATTGTCCGAAACATGAGTCGGGTGGAGTTCTTGGGCATGATTGGGCTGTTTGGCTCCTTCTTCAGTGGAATTCAGCTGTAAGTGAGAGGGTTTGCGGTTTGAGCCTATTGAAACTAATTCACCAGTTAGCTTTTTCTTGGTTTCATTCTCCTTTCTTCTTATCCAGACATTTACTGTGGAGAGTAGACTGTTTAAATTCTTGTGTTTTAAGTCTTTACTTGGTCAGTTTTAATATTTCCCGTCAGGTCAGTACATTTCAGCAATGATCTAAATAATTATCTAAATTTGCACTGAGGCACTACAGTGAATTGTGTTCTAGAAGTACCAAATGTAGACTCAGATGTAAAAAATTGTATCCACCTATTTGTTATTTCAAGACAAATGGCAGTTTAGCATCTTGAACTGTATTAGGAATGATACAGGCCACACCTATCTCTAATTGTGATTCATGTTTATAAAAAGTCACCTAGAATTATAAGCAGATGGAAGCACTGATGCTGCCAGAAGGTATTTCATTAATAGTTTTACTCTATGTAAATGATTTATGATATTTAGAAAGATATGAAAGAAAACACAGAAACAGTTACTTTGCTGTGATAACATAGAAAGGACCAAATGTTCAAAAGCTTGGCTCATGCAGGCACACCCACTGCACCCATAAAACCCACATATATTCACACAAATGGGTAGTGATGTGTGCAAGTGTCCATTTTGCACTCCAGATCCAGGCTTTGTAGTGGGAGGGTAGGCTCCAGCCTTTGAAAATGTGGCTGGTAAAGGAAAATACCACTCCAAACCATCCCTAGGTAATATTGCTAAATGTTATGCAGATCTGATTATTGTGGTGCCCAAAATAACTTGTAATTATTAATCAAAACTGGTGGTTTATCTGCACAGATGATCTGCTCAGCCTCCAAAAATAGAGAATGATCAGCAATAAATCTCTATTGAGTCCCACTGGACCAACTACATTTGTTTAGTAGACTAGTTTATTATTTTTGTATACCCATTGTTGTGGCATCTGGGCACATGACTTAAATGTTTTAAATTAACTGCTCGCTGCACAAGTAAACTGCATAAAGGAAATAAGAACTGGTAAAACTGTCTGATTTGCTTGGGGAGAATCATTTTTATTGCCCTGATATACATGGTCAACAATAGGTAATGATATAGAAGACAGTCAATGTGGAGTCTTACTAAGTGTATGTCAACTTAGACACATCTAGGAAGCAGTGTTGCCTGAAGGAGACAGTACAGGGCTGTGACTCAGGAGAGTGAGGTTCTGGTCCCAGCTCTGCTGCTGGCCTTTGGGAGCTCACTTTACACCTGTACCTCAGTTTTCCCATTTGTAAAATGGGGGTACTGATACTGTGACCTCCTTTATAAATTGCTTTAAAACCTATGGATGAAAAACACTATATATTATATTAAAATAATAATACAATCTACCATTTGAGTTTTCTGCATTAAATTTATAGAAGCATAGCTTGAAAAGCTGTGGGTGATTATTAGCTATTTCAGTGCAATGAGGATCTAAAATAGATGGGAACAGTCTGGAGAAGGAATCTGTGTTGGAAATCAGACAGTTGCCCAGCACATCAGCAGCAGCACCTATTTTGGTGGCATTCATGGGTGCTGGGATAGAAATTAATGGATGCTAATCTGGACATTATAGTGAGGAAACATAAAACATAGATTGAAAAATGAAGCATCTACTACAAAACCCAGTGTGAGGAAGAGTGAGTTTGATAGTAAAACTGCAATATTTCATTTCCTTTTAGCTTACTCTTGTCTGGAGAGTTGCATCCTGAGGAGGGGGGTAGGGGAAGGAGGAAGAAATTGTATTTGTTTGCTGTTGATATATTGTAAATCTAATGCTATGCATAAAATAATGAGATAATTTTATCTGTAAAAGAATGGAATTATATGTGCCTTTGTATGCATGAGACTTATGTCTCTGTTTACGGGTTGTCCCCCAGGATTGTCTTGAAAACAAAATGTTGCAACTCAGGAGGTTACCCTGCTGAGCAAAATTTTAAATGAAGTTAAATTTAAGAACTTTGCTGCAAGGCCCCAGGTCAGGAAAAGGCAATACAGAAGAAGTATATGGCAGTAAATTAAGTTCTGTGGAACAACACTCCATTAGGTTGTATCTTCCCCTCATTTACCATGTAGTTGTTATAGATCATGAACAGTCCTCTCCTCACCAGCTAACTTCCTCTTCTGGCTTTGACACCTAGCTCTCCCTCTTCCTCTCTTCATTGTCTCCCACCCTCATCCTCTACACTTCAACTTCCAGAGTACTGGGCCACTTAGCCTCTTGTCTCCCTACCCTCACCTCCTTGTTTGCTCTGCAGCTTGGAGGCGCCATTTGCTTCTTCAACAATCATTAACTTGCCTTATTCTATGTATGCTGCCCTCTATACATGGGATACCCTTCCTGAGCTAGTCCACAAAACCACAGCCTTCTCCTTATTGAAACCCCTCCTGGAGACACACCTCTACTGCAATGGTTAAAAGTAGAATAATTTGTCTCTCTTTCTTTAAATATTGCTTGCTTGCTTGAAGATTATAATATGGTCTGTTTTGGGGGGCTCTGTGCTGAGCCAAGTGGCCTGCTAGGCTAGGCTGAGAGCTTATTAATGAGGCTCTAGCCTGCAATCTCTTTATCCCTAACCTCTTTAGGATACGTTGACAAGGGGGCGGGGCTAACTCAGGTATAATAAGGGTTTAAAAAGCCAGCTCCACAGCAACCAGAGAAGCTAGTGAACAGGGAAGTTTTGTGAGGGAGTTTGAAAGACATTCCTTCCAGGTCCAGCTCTCAAGCACAGAGAGTTCCATGACAGAGTGAGATACCAAGGCTAGGTGGGGAGAGTTCAGCAGCAGGGAGAGGTGGGTATAACATAACTACTGAAGAGCGCCAGAAAAGCCTTCTAGAAAAAAAACACACAGGAGGTAAGGGAGAAAGGGGAATGAGTATGGGGGAGGGGGGTGGAGAGAGAGACACCTAGCAAACATACTCTAAACTTAAGCCAACCAGCCCCCCCCCCCCCCCCCCCAAAACCCAACCACTCCTGCAAAAGTAAAAAGAATGCAGGCAGAAGTCCATCACAGAGAGGGTGTTTTCCAGTTTATTGCACTGAGTGCAGCATGGGCAGGTGGTGTATATGTGCATTTGATGCAAGAAATTCATGGCCAAAGAGACACAGTATGAGCTCTTGAGGCTAGAGTGGCGGAACTGAAGGAGCTAAGGAAGACAGAGAGGTACATAGAAGGGACTTTCAGGAAACACAGTAGAGCATCCCACCCTGAGTTTGACAACGTCTGTGCTGTTGAGGAGGATGAAAATCTCAGGAAAGGGAGAATATCAAGCTGGAGCATAGGGAAATGATTCTATAGTTGGAATGTCCTTCTAGAGGACATCATGATTTCCTTCTGGGGAGGGAATCCCAGTTATTAGGAAGAGCCAGGTAATAGTGATGGGAGATTTGCTTATTATAAATATATATATTTGGGTTTATGATGATCAGGAGAACCGCATGGTGAATTGCCTTCTGGATGAAAAGGTTGCAGATCTCATGAGACATCTAGGCAGATTTATGTGCAGTGCTGGGGAGGAGCTGATGGTCATGGTACATGTAAGTACCAGTGACACACGGAAAAGTAAAAGAGAGCTCCTGGATGCCAAATTTAGGCTGCTAGGTTAGAGATTAAAGTCTAAGACCTCCATGGAAGTGTTTTCTGAAATACTCCAGTTCCGTGCACAGGGCCAGAAAGACAGGTGGAACTGTGGGGTCTCAAAGTGTGGATGATATAATTGTGTTGAGAGGAGGGTTTTAGGTTTATTAGGAACTGGGGAACCTTTTGGGAAAGTGGGAGCCTATACAGGAAAGATGGGCTCCACCTAAACCAAAATGGAACTAGCCTGCCGGCATGTAAAATAAAATTATTGTAGAAGATTTTTTAAAATTAAGGGCTGGAGAAAAGCTGACAGGTATGATGGAGCACACAATTCGGATGGAGACATCCCTTAGGGAAGAGTTTATTAAAGGGGAAACTCTATATCCTAGTAAAGAGGATAAGAAAGAAGTTGATAAAATACAGGTAGGAACTAGTGAGGAACAGTCAAACATAGGAGTCCCATTTAAATATAACACACAAAGGCAAGCAACTGATTATTGGCAAAACATACAAATGTTTATATACAAATGCTAGATGGATGAACAGTAGTGCCTGGCATTAAATGAGGATATTGATATAATAAGGCACAGCAGAAACTTGTTAGAATGATGATAATCAACAGTACATGGTAATATCAGGGATCAAAATATATAGGAGTGATAGAGTACGTTGCACTGGTGGGGGAGTGGCACTGTATGTGAAAGAAAGCATGGAGTCAAATAAAGTAAAAATCTTAAATGAATCAAACTGTACTATAGAATCTCTATGGATAGAAATTCCATAGTTGAACAATAAGACTATTGCAGTAGGAATATACTACCAACCACCTGACCAGGATGGTGACAGTAATTGTGAAATGCTCAAGGAGATTACAGACAGAATACATAATAATAATGATTGATTTCAACTATCCTCATATTGGCTGGGTATATGTCACCTCAGGAAGGGATGTAGAGATAAAACTTTTGGACAACGTTAATGACTGCTTCTTGGAGCAGCTTGTCCTGGAACCCACAAGGGGAGAGGCAATTTTTGATTTAGTCCTGAGCGGAGCACATGATTTGGTCCAAGAGGTGAATATAGCTGAATGGTTTAATAATAGCGACCATGGTGTAATTAAATTGAATATCCTTGCAGGGGGGGAAATGCCAAAGACACACACCATTGTAGAATTTAACTTCAAAAAGGAGAATTATGCAAAAATGAGGAAGCTAGCTAATCAGAAAGTAAAAGCAACAGTCACAAGAGTGAAATGCCTGCAAACTGCACAGAAACTCTGTAAAAACACCATAATAACTCTGGCATGTCAGGTGTAAAAGTGTAATAAACCAGACCAAGAAAGAATTTGAAAGAGCAAATACCAAAAGACACAAGAACTAACAGCAAATTTTTTTAAGTACATAAGAAGCAGGAAGCTGCCAAACAGTCTGTGGGCCCATTGGACTATCGATGTGCTGCTAATGGAGCACTCAAGAAAGACAAGGCCATTGAGGAGAAACTAAGTGAATTCTTTGCATCAGTCTTCACTGCAGAGGATGAGGGAAATTCCTGCACTTGAGCTGTTTTTTTATTTATTTTGAGGGGGGGGGTGACAAATCTGAGGGACCGTCCCACATTGACGTGTTAATAGAGGAGGTTTTGGCATAAACTGATAAATTAAACAGTAGTGGATCATCAGGACCAGATGGTATTCACCCAAGAGTTCTGAAGAAACTCAAATATGAAATTGCAGAACTACTAACTTAAATCAGCCTTTATGGATGATTGGAGGGTAGCTAATGTAACACCCATTTTTTAAAAAGCTTCCAGAGGTGATTCTGGCCAGTAAGCCTAACTTCAGTACTAGGGAAAGTGGCTGATATTATAGTAAAGAACAAAATGATCAAACACACAGATAAACATATGTTGGGGTGGAGCCAACACAGCTTTTATAAAGGGAACTCATGCTTCACCAATCTATTAGAATTCTTTGTGGGTATCAACAAATATGTGGACCAGGGTGATCCAGTAGGTATAGTGAACTTGGACTTTCATAGAGCCTTTGACAAGGTACCTCACCAACGGCTCTTAAGAAAACTAAGCAGTCATGGGATAAGAGGTAAGGTCCTCTCATGGATTAGTAACTGGTTAAAAGATAGGAAACAAAGGATAGAAATAAACGGTTAGTTTCCCAAGGATATGAACTGTTCACCATATTCATAAATGATCTGGGAAAGGGAGTTAACACTGAGGTGGCAAAATTTGCAGGCAATAAAAAATTACTCAAGATACAGTAGTTAAGTTCAAAGGTGACTGCGAAGAGTTACAAAGGGATCTCACTAAACTGGGCAACAAAGTGGCAGATGTAATTCACTGTTGATAAGTGTAAAGTTATGCACATTGGAAAACATAAATCCCAACTATACCTACAAAATGATGGGGTCTAAATTTGCTGTTACCACTCAAGAAAGATTTTGGAATTAATGTGAATAGTTCTCTGAAAACATCTGTTCAGTGTGCAGCAGCAGTAAAACAAAAAAACAAAAAACAGAATGTTAGGAACCATTAGGAAAAGACTAGCTAATAAGCCAGAAAATAACATAATGCCACTATATAAATCCATGGTACCCGCACACCTTCCATACAAGGAAAGGTTAAAAAGAGTGGAACTGTTCAGCTTAAGAAAGAGACAACTAAGGGAGGTATGATGAGGTGTATAAAATCATGAATGGTATAGAAAGAAAGTTATTTACCCCTTCATGTAACACAAGAACTAGGGGTCACCCAGTGAAATTAATAGTCAGCAGTTTTAAAACAAACAAAGAGAAATACTTCTTCACACAATGCACAGTCATCCTGTAGAACTCGTTGCCGGGGGATGTTCTGAAGGCCAAAAGTATAATTGGGTAAAAAAAATAATTAAATAAGTCCTGGAGGATAGGTCCAACAATGCCGATTAGCCAAGATGGTCAGAGACTCAACCCCATGCTGCGGTTGTCCCTAAACTTCCAACTGCAAGAAACTGGGACTGGATGACAGGGAATGGATCACCGGAAATCGCCCTATTCTGTTCATTCCCTCTTGAAGAATCTGGCATTGGCCACTGTCAGAAGATAGGACACTGGGCTAGATGCACAATTGGTCTGACCCAGTATGGGCCATTCTTATATTCTTAAATATTTATATATTAAAAAGCTAAGCAAAAGTATTGTCATGAAAACTCTGAAGCATACATAGTGTGTCCTATCACTTGTTTGTGGGTCCCCTTTCCTTTCCCATGCATCTCTCTATTTGTTTTGTATTTTTTGGAGTGCAAGTTCTTTAGGACAGGAACCGTGCGTCCTTTTGTCTTGTGCCTGGTGGGTGCAGCTGGAAACTAATAATAATAATAAAGAAAAGTGGTAGCAGCATATTATGCTTTTTGAAAATTGTTTCAGAATTATTTTAAGTCTCTCTGTAAATGACAGGAAAGGGGGATCTTCACTTTAAGAGGCACAAACGCATAAGAGCCCTGCACAGCAGGGTTTCATCCCCAAATCACAGACCAGAGAAGGCTAGTTGAGTGGAGAACTAGCTAGGAGGAGTCCTGACCTGTAGGATCCATCCTTAGAGCATGGGAGGCCTTATTGGCACCTCACTGTTTCCTTATACTCCCCCATCTGTCCGTATCCATCTCTTGTCTTTTGTCTCTATAAGTTCTTTGGGGCAGGGACTGCTTTTTTGTTCCGTGTCTGTGCCAAGCACAATGGGGTCTTGGTCCATAGCAGGGACCAATATGCGCTACAATAACACAAACAATAAGGGTCTTAGTGTTAATGGGCTTTTAACTTTCAGTTAACCTTGAAACTAAATCCTGAACTTGACTCCTTCAGTTTGGCCCACCCTTAGTTTTGTTTCTTGAGTTTTATTGCTATGATTACTTGGTTTCTCTCTTAATGTTTGACAAATCGTAGTGCTGGATGTTTTCCCCAAGACCATGCTATGAAATCTGCCACCTCAAGTCTGTGATTTACACATCACTGTATTTATTCTACAGTGCAGAGGAGCTTTGAAGGGTGTATAACTCATGCCGATACATTATCAATCCTTAAAGTTCAAGAGCTTTAGGAATATTAAGTCCCAAAGGGCAGGCTGGTATGAAAGTGAGGGGGGTGGGCAGCTCTGGATTAACAGCCAGAGATCTGAAGATAAAACAGGGCAAATCACATGCTATCAAATCTGATTACTGCACCAAAGATCTTTCCAACACACAGATATAGGGATAAAACCAAAGTGGGTTAACTAGGTCCGACTGCATTTGGTCTGTATAGCTGTTTCCAGAATCTGTCGTTATAAGGCTATTCATTTTGTGTTGTCCACCATATGAATTGCATGAGCGGAAGTAATTTAAGTTCTGTTCCTTCCCATCAAACTTTGCCTTCTTTTCTTTTCCAGTGCAATAATGGAACACAAGGAGTTGTTAAAAGTTCCCTGGGATTGGCAAATAGGTAAGAAGTTAATTCACTTCTTTGAAGACTGTCGCTGAAGAAAGCAACAAGAGGAATAATGCTTAGGGAGGCGTGTGGGAGGGCGAAAGGAGGCAAGGTTTGCTATTTTCATGCATGCTACTGTCAAAGGTTGGAACTGCATGCCTCAGAACCTTTTGAAATGATCTATGCCCCCACTCCTCCCATTGCCATTTTATATATTCCCTGCACCATTAGGTTAGGCAGAGAAGAAGCATGTGAATGTCATGAGTAGATCATTCTGGCAGCAGAGTGACTTAACCAATAACAGGCTTCTCGTTCCAAGATTCAGTGCAGCACTGAGACAAATAACCGGAGCGGTTGTTAAAAACCAGCATTTTACACTCAGTGCAAAGGAAAGAAAACAGAACTTAACAAAAAACTATAAAAGAAAATTGCCTGCACTGGATTTTGCAGGTCCATAAAACCTTTTCAGAGGGGAGCATTTCTGCATGCAAATAGTTAATTGCTCTCCAAGTGAACTTGGTGAGTTATAGCAGATATGTATTTCAAGTAAGTTTTTGGTAGCATCATGCACAATGACTATACTGCATATTAAGCAGGGGGTGGGGGCACCATTGTCTGGCTTGTTGGAGGAAGGCATGTACCTCATTAAAGGGCTAGAGAGGCATGGAGTGAATTTTACAGATGCTGCAGAGCAGGTCAGTGTGGGAACACTGACCCATCCCTCCCCCCAGGTGACCAGAAGAGACAGAATACTATAGAGGTCCATGCCAGTCAGAAAAAGTGCTCTTTTATTTGGACCAGATAAAATGGATTGGTAAAGGGTTTTAAGGAGGTATTTGTTTTAAGGAGCAGAAACATGGGGGGGTTCAGGGCTCTTATGACTGCACAGCAGGGAGCCAACTCCCCCTCCTTTGTAGCCCCATCCAACCCTCATTCGAGGAGGGGGGATGGCAAGGTCCCAACAGCAGGTTGGCTGGGGTCCAGGGTGGGTAAGGGGGAGGGCTGTTGGAAGCCCCCCAGGTATATATAACAACCTGCACTGTATACATTTATCTGCCAACTACTCCCAGACAGTTAAGAATAAAGTTGTGGCCTAATTAAACCACATCCAGTGCCTCCTGTCCTTCCAGCATAGCTGGACGATGAAATTCATACAGTGATTCACTTTGCACACTGGGTGGCTTATTCCCTTTTCAAGTGGGAAAATGATTTTGAGTCTAAGATTCTGTTCTGATAACTCAAGCAAATTATTTCCCCTCTTTAAAAAAATCAACATTTAGGGACAGATAGTTCCTAAAACATCACAGTTGGCATCTGTGACAATAGAAGCGTTTAATCAAATGCTGATAACACACAATACCACATTCTGTGCAAGAGGTTGAAATACTGAGCAGGAGGTCAGGCTTTGATTATACAGCAACAGCATCTTGTTAACCTAGTTTCAAAATGAGCATCAGGGTATCACCTTAGAAATATGGAAATCAGCTGGTTATACAGGGAATCTGTGAGACGTGGAGTGGTAAGTAACATGGTAGTTTGTTGCTTTCTTTACCGCTTTATTCACTATTTCTGTTAATTATCCTGAACCTTAATAGAGCAATGCATCTGTCATGAAGCATCGTCACTACAAGTCTTGGAAATTTTACACGAGATTGAAAACTAAATGACAAATCAGTTAAAGTATCAGCTGAGGAACAAACCCTGCTGCAGATTGTAGATTCATTTGCCTTCATTCGTCTGAGATCCTTAACAAAGCTCTAACAGAGCTTGGTAACACTTCATGTTAAGAAGCCTATGATCATGAATTAATTTGGTACTGATGGTACTAGCAATCATCATAGTGAATTCATCTCCTAGTTATTTGGATGCCATATGTAGTTCCACAAGACTTCTGTTGTAATCCAGGATTAGTTAACTGTGCCCTTAAAATAAAGTCACACTCGGTGGTCTCCACTGCCATTAAAATGTCTTCCCAAGTTAGTCACAATTTATAAGCATAGAAGGAGGAAATCAGCCTGCCAAGAATGGTGTACAGCTGTACTTGTTTTGTGAGTACAGTAATTTGAAATGTGGTTGAGTTGCCAAAGAACATGGATAAAATGATGATAACTTTGTATAGTTTTGAATTCTTCTCTGGCTTCCACTGTACTTGGTGCATTTCCCATTGCGTTGGCAGCATTGTAAGTTTGTCAAGTAGTGATTGACAAGACTACATCAAGGAGGACACAACCTTGCTTGTCCTAAATAGTTATCCTGTGCAGCAGATTTAAACCAGTGGCCTAGCACGGTTAAATCTTCAGCCCTTTGAATGGTAGTGGTAAAGTTATAAAGTGATGAAGTGATAAAGCAGGCAACTTAATAAATAACTAAAGATGGCCTCTTGCCATCTACCATAATTGTGTCATTAAGAATGTAGGAACTAACATTCAGCTGATGTAAAATGGAAATGCTTTTGTCTTAGGAAGGTCCAAATCCATCCTAGCATATAACACATTTAACATAGGATGTAGCCCTCTTAGCTACTTAGTTCTTCTCCTGCAAGGTTCCTTCGCACACAAGACCACATCCTCAACTGCTGTAAACCAGTGTAGCTCCATTTTAATCAGTGGAGCTATGCCAACTTATATCAGCTGAAGATCTTCCCCAAAAGGAAACGATTTGACTGTACGAATCAAGTGGAGCACCATATTTCATTTGTGAGGTGAATAATGAAACAGTAACAAATATGAAAACAGTAATTTGATGTGACAGAGAAGTAAATTTGGGTCTCAAAGAGGCACATCCCTCACAATGAGAGGTATGAATTTTTCTCTGGCATCCTTTGTTGTTTGTTCTAAGAAGCAAGTTTAAGAAATCTTTGAGTGAAATGGTCTCTGACTGTCAAATACCAGTGGAACTCTGGATTTCCTAGTACAATGGTCAAGGCTAAAACAAGCCGATAAGAGCCATCTAATATGCTGAGGCATTTCTACTCTGAAAACTGACTCTGTAAAAATCACATTGGGGGTTCCAACTTTATGGTCTCTCAGTAACTTCCAGATCAAATTTGATCAGTTTACAAGTAAAATAAGTATTTTTTTTCTGGAGCTGCTAGCCTTGTAAACTTGGGATGTGAAAGGCAAATGGCATTCTTTCTAGCTCACACATACTCACCAATAACTGTCACCCAACTGAGGTGGATTATAGGTATAGTTAAGGGGCAAATAAGATGCCATTTCTTACACTCAACCTTCAGAGTATAACTACAGTGTAAGCATTCTTCTGCTGGAACCAGAGCATAGTTTGAAAAAGTGACTCTATGAAAATGCAGTTAATTCCCTGACAGAGTATCTTAATATGAAGAAAATAATGTGAAATGCTATTGTTCATAGAGACCCCAATTCAGCAAAGCACTTAACTTTAAGCATGTACTTAAGTCCCATTGAAGACAGCTCTATGATATATTCTTCATTTCCAGTTGCTTTTACAGGCATACAGACTGCTCTTTGCAATGAGTATTTGCACCTGTGCCCTGCCAGCTCTCTGGTGGTTTGCAGAGTGTTTCATGGAGCACCATTGATCTGATGACTACTGTTTGAGAACTGCTCACCTAAAGGCTGGAATAACTTCTTTACCTGAACTGGTCTGAACCCAGGAAGAAAGAAGCTGAAGTAGTGCAATATGCTGAAAATTTGTCATTAGACCAAATTATACTCCCTTTTGTGGAATCATTGTCCCAACACAGAATGGCAGAGCTGGCATAAAGCACTCCTTTAAGTACTGTATGTGGGAGAATCCCATGGATACCCATGTACAGTGCTAACCATTAAAATGTCACTATTTGCTAACAGATACAACATTCACAACAGTGATTTCATATTCTTAGTATAGATTGAAACTGTGATATCTCAGATATCAGTGTGTGGTAACTGGGCATTTGCTGATCTCTTAGGATGACCACTATATATGTTGTATACAAAGCTATACTTCTGTTGAACTGCTTCTATGAGATCCAAACCATGAATATTATGGCAGCATTTGTCTGCTGGGTAGCTTTTTTTTTTTAAAAAGATACAAAATCAGCAGGACTTTATTTATTGTTATTATCAGTTAATTCCCTATTTTGTAATTTCAAGGCTCTGGGTATCAGATTCTCTGCAGTTTTAAGTCAATGCCTCTGAAGGGCTAGCATGAGTCTAAATTTAGTTCATGCACACATTGCAACATCCAGTAGCAGTGGAATTATCATTTGCTTGAGTGCAGATGAGTGAAGAAGTTGAGTTGTTTTTTTTAAACTTGCTTTGGGATTTACCACCAAATAATTGCTGCTGTGAATTCTTCCCTGGTAAGGCTTCAGATTTTTTTTTTAAGTGAAATTACTTTTTTAATAGAATGTATTATTTATATTACATCAGTGCCTAGATGTCCCACTGTGTTAGGAACTGTACAGACACATAGTAAAAGACAGTCCTTGTCCTGAAAAACATGCAATTTAAATAGACAATTCAGACGAAGGGTGGGAGAGTAAACAGAGGCACAGAGATGTACAGTGATTTGCCCAAGGTCACATGAAAGATCAGTGGCAGAGCCAGGAACAGACTCCAGATCTCTTTATTCCCAGCGCAGTGCCCTGTCCATTGGACAGTACTTCATCTGCAAGTGCAGTATAATCCATTTTATGGGCCTAATCCTGCAATGTGCTGAGTGCCCTCAACTCCTGTTGAATTTAGTGGGAACTGAGCATGTTCAGAACCTTAGAGGATTAGGTCCAGTTTGGAGGATGCTCCAGAACACACTGTTTCATTTCCCATTAAGAGGAATTCACAATTAATAGAAGATACTATTTTAATAGTAAAGCTATTCTCATGGGAACTACAGAACACTTTGTGTTATTGGTCTAGTCCAAAACTGTTGAAAAGGCAATATCTGCACAGGGATGGGTAGTTATCTTGCTTCCTGCTCGATGGCAGGGGCATCTGCAAGACACACAGCATAGCTGCTTAACATGTCTAAGAGGGGATGAAAATATTCTGTCATGTAAAAATGGAGCCAGCCACACACAGTCACCTGGTGATCTTCTGAATGAGTAAAGAGAGTTTTGATGAAAACCTGCTTGAGTGACTGGTACTCTAATTGTCATGGAGAAACTTCAGTGTCTCAATGCAGACTGCCTGACAACAATCCAGATGGGCTATCCAACCATAGCATCTGATGTCAAGGTGAAGCAGCATTGAAGAATTGCATTCATCCAGTCAGGGCACAAAAACATGGGCACCCAGCGGGCAGCATACAAACTATGTGCCCAGTCAAAACAGCATGAATGTCTAATTTAGAATATTCACAGAAAACCCCTGTCAAACAAGCTACAGGTTAAAAATTATTCACAGAATTTATTATTTGAATAATTTTGAATATCCAGCACATTTGAATAAATTGGGATGAGCTCACAGACAATTCAAAAACAGAAGAACAGGTGTAATTTGTTCAATAAATAATTCATTATGAATTAGACACCAAGTTCTATTGATTGTGTGATTGTCCTAATGAATGACAAACCTGTAGTCTGCCGTGTCCCATCACTTACGCTATTTATACCACACCAGGCAAGATATCTGCAAAGCGGTTATTAGTACACAGGTTGTGGTACACATTTCTCATATTTAATCAGCCATATTCTCAGTTGATTTAAATTGATGTAGCTCACTGACTTCAATGGAGCTGTAACAGCTTACATCAACTGGGGATCTGGTGCTGTGTGATTTAGACATTTGTAGCGATTACATGATTTATTAGAGGATTTTACATTTCCACTGGTATAGTACATGTTTATATTAATGCTCCAAGTATGTCTATAAATATATACACAGGTTAATAATTTAAATAAATGCTCTTTGAAAAAAATATTCTTAATTCTTTTTTAAACAGCGTGGTTTTCTTCTTTCTCACAACACAAATTCAGGCAATATGGGATCTTTGGATAGACTGTGGTAGATCATTTTATCTTGTTCCTCTTCCCCCAGGGCTGCTGTATGTTGGCTTTAGTGCCTGTATGTTTGGCCTCTACAGCTTCATGCCAGTGGTCATTAAGAAAACCAGCGCTACTGCAGTCAACCTCTCCCTGCTCACAGCAGACCTGTACAGCCTATTCTGTGGATTATTCCTCTTTAACTACAAGGTAAATTGAATAGATTATGTATTTGAATGATGACTTTGTCTGAAGTAGTGTCAATGCAGAGAAATGAATCAGTCTAAGGACCACAACCAGAACCGCTGTTGTTGTTTTTTTGATGGGACTATGCAGTGAAGTGTAGAACTTTTGATGTATCTGTTATTACTTATTAAAAGTGCACTCTTCCCCATACTCTCCTTTCCCCCAATGTAAACCACTTTTTGTGTGCTTCTCCCTTGTTCTGAAATTACTACCTCTGAGGGAGAACCTAATTCAGTCTCCATGCCTACTTAATCCCTGACCCCCATCCTTGACCAGATCCAAACTGGTGTATGAGAGGAAAGTCACTTTATAAACCATTAACAGATCCCTTAACATATTTTTGCAAGGTGATGAGCTTGTTTTGTGTTTTACACTGTATCTGAAATAGTTGTAACTATTGAATTATTTTTGCATGATGCCTCTTAGCTGTCCAAAATATAGCTGCAAAAATGTTCTTTTGGTCAGCTGTCCCAATGGATTGGCTGTTAGTGTATCAGAATGTGAAGGAGACTTATGTTAAAGTCAAACCTCTAGCTCTCAAGCCATCTGATATTTAGAACATGGCATAGGCCACACTCCAGGCCTCCAGTTGCAAGGGATTATGTCACACTATTCACAACCCTCCCTGGGTGGCCATCTTAAAAATGGCATTATGCTCTTGGAGGCGATTGCTATGTAGCCATGATTTATTCAGAAAAGGGAGGTGACTTAATGGGGAAAATGGTGGCCTGGAAATGAGTGGAGGAAAATGAAAACCTGATGATGCTGGCCTGGCAAACAGTCTAGAGTCAGGGTTTAATGTATCTGAATGGTGAGGAAATGTCCACATGCGAAACTTCAGGGCCCAACCCAAGAACAAAATTTCTTATTTGCCTGTTATTTCATGCTAATGACTCTTCAAGATACCAAATAAAGATGCATATGGAATCCAAAACTAAAATAAAAACACACTGTAGAGGGCACTTGCTGGACCATGGGACTGGTTAAGGGATATGGAGTCCCTTACTTCTAGATCACCAGTTCAAATCACTAGTGACTGAAATGTGTTACTATCTGATGGCTGCTTGGAGTCTTATAGTGAAATGTGCTTAGTGGTGTCAGTCCAGTTTCTTGTAGACAAGTGGCCACATCAGAAAAAACAGAGATGGGCAAACCCAGGGTGGATTTGGTTTCACAATGTCATTGGTCGTTTTGCCTTAACAAAGCCACCCATATTCCACAACAGGAGAGTCAGATCCAGGTCCCATTTTGTCCAAATCATTATAATTCTGGAGGGTAGCAAGAATTGGATATGTGATTTTAGTTTTGGCCCATGTCTGCTCCAGATAGAGATGGCCAAAAAAAATGTGTGATTTTGGTTTTGCAAAACAAACCCTGGTGCTGGATCTTAGTCCAGTTTTACCTGAACCCTAAAGTACAGGGGATGGATAAATGGTTCCAGTTTTGTTTCAGTTCTATAAAATATATTTAAAAAAATAATCAATTGATACCGTTGCCAGGAGTCCCAGCCTTTGAGTCCCAAAGCCCAGACTTTGAGGACTGAATTATCATGAAGATTGACCCACATTCATAAGCTCTTGTGGGCATGAATTTTCTGTTATATGCATGTGTGCAGTGCCTAGCACAATGCGGCCTTGGTCTCCACTCAGAGACGGTGATTGCTACCATGAGAGATATAATTAATAACAATAGTAATATGATCCCTCCAGTTGGAAGCCCAGTTGGGAAGTGTGGAGAAGCTTGCCCTGCCTCTACACCAATGCAGTACCAATCTCAGTGCTGTCAATCTGTCTCCTTTCACAATCTTCATGGTCACTGGGGAGGAAAATTCAAAAAGAGGAAAAGGGGTTGGTAAAAGAGCTGGATTAAAATTCCAGCTCTAGCTGTCTGAACGTTTTTTACATATCAAATTAATTTCTCTTGTTCTGATCCTTAATCTGATCTTTTTCTCTGCTTTACTATCAGGTATGATTTTTATATGAAGAAGAGCTATAAAGTGGACTCCTTGCATGAAATAATGAAGTCTAATACATATGCATTAAATGACCTAAATTAATTCCCCTTCTAGGACAGCATGTTTTCTAGTTTCAGAAAAGCTGTTCTGTTCCCAGCCCAGCTGTACCTCTTCTTCTGATGCACTGTTCTTTCTATTTATTGCTGTGCTGACCAATGGGTGAAGCCCCACTTCACAGCAAATGGCTTTATGCTAAATTAGAATCATCTGAATGGTTTAGTGCCCCTTACAGAATATAATTTTATGAGGCTTTCAAGAAACAGTTATGATTTTTCCCTGTGCCACTACTTTTATCACCTGACAGCTTTATTGCACCTATAGCAGTAAATCTATGAAAATCCATGGAAAATACAGGAAATGAGTTTTACTGGGCTTACAGCCTCAGAAACCAAACCGAAGAAGAGATTATATTTGAAGTGTTTTGATTTGTTAATATTTCATCTTCTTACAACAAGGACTCATGCTATCTCGATATACAGGACAGTATGCTTATAAATAAACCAACATCTATATGTATTATATGCACCCCATATGCTAGTGTCTCTGTATTATATTGGCCAGTCCCCAAATGTTAGTCTGTAGTAAACCAAAAATATAGCATGTATCTCAGAGTCAACTCTAATGGAGGATTAATAATGTAAGAAGTGAATTTTATATATTAATAAAATATAATTATTTGTGGCTTGCAACTTGAGATAGATTTCTAACTGAATATGCAAATTGCAGTTCTTTTTTAAAAAACAAATCAAACTATTTGAATTCTGCCAACTAATGCTCTGGAAGTCTTTTTTTTTTACATTAGTAACTGAGTCCAAATATTCTGCTTGTGAGAGAAAGATGTTTATCAATGCCCTGTCCAGTAGCTGCATAATTCCCATTACTGAATTAACAGCATAAGCACAGCATTACACATTTTCATCCCATTTATCCCCCTGCCTTCTGAACCTTCTGGCCCAGGTGCAACCCTTTGACCTGTCTCTCAAGAGTGATCTAGCCATCTCCCTACTTGAAAAATAAGGTCCATCAGGATCCTAAAATTGAAATAAGATAAGGAATTAAAGGAGCTGTTTGGTTTTCTTATTTCTATCATATTGAATCAGGCCACACACTCTCCCAGTCTCTGTCTAGGTCTCTCTCTTGTTTTTTAGCTTCTGTGAAATACATTTGTGGTGGCAGGGAAAATGAGTGCTATACGGGATGTGATGTGGGCAAATTTCACGCTAGCACAGCCAGGGAAAGGGTTAATTCCCACCAAACAGAGCCAGGCAGAGGCCCTATTATAACCTGTGGATTTTACTCAGCCTGCACATCAGAATACATACTTAAGCAGGAAGAGGTAGCAACTTGGGGGTGCGCAGGGAAACAGCCTGCCTCTCTCCTCCAGTCTGAGGAGTCCCCTGGGTGGGAGACTGAGGAGGCAGTTTGTTTGGACTTTGTTTCTTTTGAATTTTTGGGAACATGACCCTGGCTTACTTGACCTCTTTCAGTGAGTGAACAGATCAATCTGGCCTAAGTGGACAGTTGTACTGTGGGATGGTACCCCAAGTAGGGGTGGCTTCATTTGACTGGAGGGCCAGATATAGAGAGCCACAAAGACTGGGTAACATACATACACCCCAAGGAAGAGAGGGAAGCAGTGGAACTAAGTGGCCTGAGTCAGGAAGCAGAGAAGGCTTGTTGCTTGGAGTGGGTGCCTGCTTCCTTTTCAGGTCCCAAGCTGGAACTTCCAGTAGAGGGCAGGCTAGGCTGCACCTCCGCTCAACCACACCATATCAAAACAGGAACTTGTCACCTTGCCCCATTCCCACAGGATATGAGTAAGGCTGCAAGTTTGTCACGGAGGTCACGGAGGTCATGGATTCCATGACTTTCTGTGACCTCCATGACTTCTGCAGTGGCCAGCTGCACCAGCCGCTGCTGGGCAGGCTTGGGCCACTGCTTCCCTCCCCCCCCCACACAGCAGCATCAGGAGTTTGGGTGGGGGGGATGAGGGTTGGGGCATGGGAGGGGATGAGGGCTCTGGGTGGCTCTTACCTTGGGGCCGGGCTCCCCGGAAGCAGCGATATCCCTCGGCTCCTAGGTGGAGGTGCAGCCAGGGGGCTCTGCATGCAGGCACTGCCCCCACAGCTCCCATTGACTGTGGTTCCCCTGAGGGATGTCACCTCTTCTGGGGAGGCATGAAGCCTGGTAGGGAGCCTGCCAGCCCCGCCAGCCCTCGCCCCCCCCCCACCCCCGCACCAGCATGGGTCCCGGGCAACACACCGCCACCCGCTCCCCACAGCACCAGCAGGGGTCCCAGGCCCCTCTGAGCACCTGCAGCACCCCACCCCTCACAAACCTCCCTCCTGAGCACCTCTGGCGCTCCCCTGAGCACCCGCCCCCCAGCACCCATAGCACCTCCGGGCCGCCCCGCTCCCCAAGATTTAGTCAGGGGTATATAGTACAAGTCATGGACAGGTCACAGACCATGATTTTTTGTTTACTGCCTGTGACCTGTCCATGACTTTTGCTAAAAATACCCACAACTAAAACATGGCCTTAGATATGAGTACTTCCCATTTACTTTAACGGAAGTTACTTGGAGCAGAGATGGGAGCAGAGAAGAGAGAGAATCAGGTCTCTGGTCTTATAGTGGAGTCTAACTGGCTCTTCATATGTATTCCAAGTTACCTGTCTTTTCCTGCGTGGAAACGTCTGTGAAGCTAATACTTCCCGTTCTTGCAATTCACACTGGGATTGTGTCTGTCCCCTCTGCAAGTGTGTAAGGGGAGGGAAAGTTCTTGCCCTCTCTCCTGCCATTCACACTTGTGCAGGGCCAGCCACATACTGTCCCTTAGTTTCATTATAGTGTCAAGGTTGTTGCTATATTCCAGACTAACTACAATTTATATATAAGAGATTTTAATTTTTTTAAAACTATATAAAGAAAATGTACGGACATGAAACAATG